GAGAATTGACATATGTAAATAGGGGAGCACAAGGAATAGTGCCAGTAATTCTACTCAGCCATGTAATCAGTCAACAAGCATTGACTGATCAGCCATTTATCCCAAAATATTAATTGCGTGTCTCCATGAGCCAGGCGCCATTTCAGGAACGGGGAATACGTGAGTGAAGTAGACGCTGACCCTATCCTTAAGGAGCTCTCGGTAACAGACGGAGAGTCTAAGAAGTAGATCAATGACCACAACACACAAAGAGAGGTGGCACGATGGGAAGGCTCAGGGAGCTGTGGGAGCACAAAGCGGTCACCTCTAACTTAGCTGGGCGGGAAGAGGAAGGGAAGAGTCAGGGAAATCTTCCCAGGCCAGGCAACATCTGCTGAGTTCTGAAGGGGACAAGAGAGCCCGTCACGGGGGAGGAATAGACATCAGTCAGGTTCATGACCTTCTCTAATGCAAAGAACCAACTGGAAGCAGATTGTCGCACAAACAGGTTCGTGTTACTGGAATTCAAAATTCAGCAGAAGTCATCAGAAAGGTTTCCCAGAGGATTTGATGTGGGTTTTAGAGTATCGGAAAGGTTTATCCAGGTAGACAAAAGAGGGGAAGGCCCTCTATTATAGGGGGAAAAAATAATTATAGGAAAAAGAAAGGGCAGGGGTGCTTATGGGTTGGTATGTGGAACAGTCATTCAGTTAGTGTTGACTGATAAAGCACACAGTTCTAGGACAAAGTCGTCTAAGGCATGCTTCACCCTTCAGAGCCCAGGTCAGCCATCTATCTGTAAAGGGCCATAGAGTCAACATTTTAGGCTTTTGGGGCCACTGGGAATTGGTCTGTGGGCCGTGGTTTGCTGACCCTGCTCCAGAGACGAATGCTCTTATTGGGAACGCAAGATAAGTATACAGATAATTACAATGCAAGGTGTGAATTTTCCTGGAGTTTCAGAAGTTAAGTCTAGAAATGGGAACTGGGTCAGATTTGGAGGGCTTTGAATGCCAGGCTCAGCATTTGGATGTCATCCTGTATGGTGCAAGCACCATTGATGGTTTTGAAGAACGGATTGTCTTTTGAAAGATTAATTTTGCAACGCTCTGCAGAATGGGATAATGTATAGAGAGCCTGGAGGCAGGGAAACTTACAGGAACTCTATAGCAGTACTCAAAGCATCAAGAGCAAAACTTGGATTCTGCAGTTAACAGAGGAAATGGAATTAGAAAGACAAGGGTGAGAGACTTTCACATTGTTGAATAACTGAGTAAGAGGCCTAAAGGAAATAAAGGAATCAAAGATAACCTCACAGCGACAAATGCAGGCGGCTAAATAAATGGCTCTGAATGAACTGATAATGACAAGTTGGGAAAAGAGAGTGGTTTGAAGGGACAGATTTCTTTAGCTTTAAGATGCATGTTGAGNTCTGATGATCACAGTTTTCTGGCAGGTGGCAGTAAACTATCTTGTTCTGACATATTCAGTGCACTATGACAATTTCCAGCAGATGGGAGTAGGTCTTGACAAGGGTGCCTTTTTCTAATTCTCACAAGTCACCGTATGGATGAGTGTGGACCTGCCTGATTGGCCAAATGAATCAATGCTTCCCAACATCTCACTTTACCCTTAGAGAGTAGCTTCATGCCCTGGAATCTCCAACCAATTAGATGGTGCCACAAGACACACACACACACACACACACACACACACACACACACACCATACACACAGTCTTTTCTTCATGAATATGATAGTAACAGATCATTCAGCATTCACCATTTGGCTCCTTTGAAATATTAAGCTGTCGAAGTCATGATGTGTTTTTTCTGTTTTTTGTTGCAAAAATGCATCATGACTTATCCGACAACCCAATAGTAAAGGCCTAGAGGAGTATTTGATTTGCTTCAACCTGAAATAAAACTACAGAGGCTCTGTCTGCTTCCTCTCTCTCCTCTAATAAAGAAAGAAAGAAGGAAGTCTTCTCTCACCAATTCTAACAACTGGCCTTGCAGATGGGATGCCATGCCCCAATATGAATAAACGCTGGGGTGGCAACAAGCAGATTAATTACCAGGAAATTATCTCCTGCAGCAGCGTGCTCGGTGTTCTCTAACAAGGCTGGAAATGATTTGTGCCAACATGTTTACGGCTCTGAGCACTTGCCTCGGGTCCTTCAAGTGCTCTATTAAAAACTTTTTGATTAACTTGGTGTCAGGGCTAACTTTTTTGTTTGCTGCTTTCTTCAGAGTGAATAAATAGAGGCTCCACACCCTGGTGCCTGGAAAGCCGCCTGGGTAAATCACCGGAAACAGTCAGGCTTGAGAACACCAAGAGTGTGTTACTCTCAGGTCTGATGTTACTTGAGAGACTCAAGATTTGTCTGATTCATAAAAATGCCACTGCACAGGTGTGTAGATTGAACCTTTCCCATTTATTTTAAGGACATTGTGGCTGTCAGGACTTGCGAAGTAGGTAGCTTTGTTTTTTTATGAGGCTGCGCTATTTTTCACGGTTAGATGCTGAGAGGTGACTGCATGTGTGTATAGAGAAACACATCCCCGGTTTGGACCCAAGTCATAATAAATTTATGTGCTATTTACACATGGCTTTAAATCATCTCACTAAGAGAAGCACAGAGCCTAGACATTGAACTGCTCTTTCTGGTGCATAAGTGGTGGCTTCTTTGAAAAAGAGGATGGAAGGTAAGGGAGGCCTCCCTGCTCATTCTCTGTGAACCGCTCTTGCTTTGTCACACAACCCACCTTGGGAGTAGCTGTGCCACTCTACAGGCCAGTTGGAACTGCTTTGCGACTATACATTTATGAGCAGTAAAACCTGTCACTTTCTCCTCTTTTTGCAGGGCAGCCAGTCAAAGTACCAAGTCTCTGGACAGGATTCCATGGGCGGCTTGGAGCCCCGGGAACTGTGTTGTGAGAAGCATGGAGATAGTGCTGCCTGGGCAATGAAGGGAGAGGAGAGTGCGAGCGAGGGAGAGAAGGAAGCCCAGAGCGTTCCAAAGAAAGCAGGACAAGAAGTTCTCAAAGTCAAATGTTGGAACAGTTTCTAACATTATTGATCAAGAAGACAGAGGCTTAGCGAGGATAGCAGCGGGATCCGCAGATAAATTCCACGGTGCCCATTTCTGTTCCCCCCAGCATCTGTGATTCCGTCTGATACCCTCTTTTGAAGCCAGATCTGCTGAAGAAGCTAAGGAAACGCTGGTAGTACTGAAGACGACCGTACAAGCAGGGCCCATAGCCTGGGACTCGTGGGTCTTCAGACTCCCCTGCAGCCGTCCTCACCCATCTGGTCCCCCTGACGCACCAACACCTCTCCTTCCAGGCTTTCTCTGGGCAGGGCCTCCTCAGAAATCGACCCTTCTGCATTACACACTCTGCTTAGCTGCTACTGCTGCTGGTGTGTCGTTGATGTTGTTATTCTTTGCTTCATGTTGTCTACTGAATGGTCCTTGCTGGCNGCACCACTCGGCTGGCCCACCAATGCCTTTTTTTATTAAAAAAAAAAATTCTTCCTCCAGATTACAAAACAGTACTGCTTATTGTAGAAATTTTGTACCACAGATAATTATAGAGTTGCAAATTAAAAACCATCCAAAAAAAATTCCACTCCCTCGAGTCAGCCACTCTTGACATTTTGGAATGTTCCCAAAATGGGAACTTTAGAAATTATATACACATTGATTTTTTTCCAGAAAGGCTTTGATTTAAGAGAATGTCCATGGTAGTATGTACATAATAGTAAATATGAAAGCTGTCTACTACCGTTTTGATTTCTAGGCCTCCTCTAACAACGTGACATGGGTTTGTCCCTCTGGACATGGGCACTATTAATGATACGTTACTTTGCATTTGTATAGTGGTTGTATTTAGCATATTTGCTGAAATCTCTACTAATTCTAGTAGTTCATGTGAAGATTTTCTTGGATTTTCTACATCCAAAAAGCATATTATTTGTGAATGATGACAATGTTGTTTCTTCCTTTTCATCCATTTACATGTGATGCCCATTTTCTTATCTCATGCTGTTGGGTAAGACCTGTAGAAAAGTGCTGATTAAAAGTTGGGATGAAGGACAAGCTGTCTCATCAATCTTCTAATGTTTTTAAAAGTATAAAATTAAAGTGTCAGTTTTAATAAAAACTGTTCACCAACTACAAATGGAAAATACTTTCCTTAACTTGATAAAGAGCATCTATGAAAACCTACTGAGAATGTCCTACTTTTGAAACATACTGCCATGTGTAGGCGAATAAATGCATATCATTATTATTGGAGGGGACCTAAAAATCAAAAGGCAATGAGTTGAACAGTTTTCAAAATTTTTTAAACTGATAAATGAAAAAGACTATTTAGTGG